CGCTCCCCCCCCCAGAATTGGGCGAGGGCGGTGCCTGGTTTCTCCCGCAAACTGGCATGGGGGTGCACGGCGCAAAAGTGCGGCCCGAAGCTTCGCAGAATCAGCCGGGCGAAGGCGGTGCCTGCCCGCTTTCTCGCGCAGACTGGCTTGAGGACATGGGGCAAGGCCGCGGCCTGCGCTTAGTTTCTCACACTTGGGCGCAGGCTGTGCCCGGTTGGGTTTCTCGCGCCAGCTGGCGTGGGCACACGGAGCAAAACCATGGCCAGAGGCTCTCCAGAGTATGGCGAAGGCAGTGCATGGCTTCGCGCGCGAACTGGCACGGGGACACGGACGAAAACCGCGGCCCGAAGCTTCGCAGAGAAAGAGTCGAGCGGCCGACGGCGTTGCCTGCCCGGTTTCCCGCGGAGACTGGCAGGGGGACACGGACGAGCGGGCTGCCAACGTCTTCCGCCGGCTAGCTTCCAAAAGCCCGCCAGCGCTTTCAGAAATCCGGGACCGGCCTCGCGACGTTGGTCGGCGGCTTGCGGGATTCCGGCCGGCGCAGACATCCAAAAGCGCGGCCGCATTGGCCAAAGAAAAGCCGGGCGGCGACTTCCGCAAGGCTGGGGGCCGCTTCCTTCCGCAGGTATGCCGCCGGCTTTTAGAAGTTAGGCCGCCCGCCCAGCGCTTCTCTCCTGAAGTAGGGCCGCCAGGCAGCGGCGCCCAATAGCCCGGCGCCGACTTCCAAACGCCTGCCATCAGCTTGCAGGCCGGTGTCGGAGTCCTGCAAGTGGAAGCGAGCGCGCCACTCCTCGGGCGCCCATCGGGGCGCCCTATGTGGTAGCCCGCTGGGGATGGCGCGGCGCTGGCCATTCCTCTACTTCGCGACGCGCGTCCCCGTGGCGGTTGCGTTCGAATGTCGCGAGGAGCAAGCCCGCCCGGCCTCGGAAACTGCTCCGACGGACCGCCCAATGCCCTCCAAAGATGCAAGGTCTCTGCACGGGGGCCCCAGCCCCCGTGCTCGGACCTTGTTTGTCATGCTAGTCTGGCATGACTCTGAGCTCTGTATTGCGTGGCCGCGAAGAGCTCTTTCTCCCTGTTATGCAAAAACGCAGTTTCTAATGGGGAATACGCAACTCAAAAGCATGAAAAAAACTTGTCATGCGTGGCAGCGCGTTACAGTGAGGTACACGGAATGTCAATGTCGACACCAAAACTCTGTCTGCAGTATCTGTTTTTTCTGCTATGTTGACTACAACAACCGCATCAACCGCTCGGTATCTATTGGTGATCAGATTCTTTCCAGGGCTGAAGTAAATCAAACCACTTTCTTCCACTGTCGGTTGGAATGAACAAGGACTACAGCCCGTAGTCACAGAAAACAAAGATGCACCATCTTGAGTGATGTACTTACTACTTACGGAAATTGCAATGTAGTGCAGGAAAGAGGTGGTCGGTTTGGTAGATTCGGAACCTGTTGTCTGTGGAAGATCACGATACATCTGGGCCGCGGAAGCACACCTTAGTAGAGGCAGGAGGTTCTTCTTCTGGTTCCTGTTTTATTAAGAAAATGTCGGCTCCTTTAGGAACGAAAAAAATCTGTCCTGTTAACGCTAGCAATAGTGCTGGCACCCGGAAAGAAAGGGTGATATCAATTTCTTTTGATACGAAGTACTATTTAGGGAAACGCTACGAAAAAACAAGTGAGTTGTCAATAAGAGCAATTACGAGTAGGCTAGTACTTATTTTTGAGTGTAGTGACGAGGACGAGAGGAAACATTTAGACGTGAGGAAGATGTTTCAATTATGCGCCGCATATCAGGACTAAACTACTCACGCACTACGAGAGTTGTGGTTTTCTGAGGTACTATGGGATTTTTTCCGAGAAACAAGGAGTCCTGATAGATTTTTGGACGACGAACAACGCATTTTTACATAACAAATTCAATCAATTTTCTATAGCTGTTTGAGGCGTCGTGGTCGTCACATGTAAGTGGGACGACGGTGACAAAAGCTGGTCATCAAGTAAAAGCACCTAAAGATCTACTTCTACCTGAGAGACAGAATTCACCGCGATTATTTGAGAACGGTACACAAGAACCTCGCTTATTGCGCCAAAATAAATTCTGTTACTGACAACTACAGAGCGACGGTATGAAAAACTATGATTTTTTAAAACGAAAATGACCAACATTTCTGGGTAAAGACGCAAATCTAACCATGGCAAGCACCACGGTAGTGACCGCCGGCTTTGCCCGGCGCGCTGCACTCCAGCAAAGAGAAAGTTCTAGCAGGCTCCGCAGTTTTTCTCCCGCTGCCGCAACTTCAGTCGCCGGCTTCAGTTCGTCGAGCACGACCAGACTGTTTGTTCCAGGGCATATTAATGGCCGCCGCGTGGAGGGTCTCCAGAGAAGCGGCCACGGTAGACCACAAGTGCAAGTGCGTCACTTTTCCGGCTTCGATTTGAAACCGGAACTGGAAACTTTTGAGCACTTATGCAAGACGAAATCATTTATTTTCGCACGTGTCTTGCCACCGAAAATTCATGCTGTGAGAATGCATGGCTAACAAGTAAGATTATGATTGAGTATGACCACTCCTGTGCGTGTTTTGTCCGGGCCCTTGGTGTAATTAGTCGTGTATGTTGAAAAGAAGTATTATGCAAATGCGTTCAAAGAGGAAGATTTTCTGATCAAGACACGAACTTTTTTTTCCTTTTCATACTGTCCAACACTTTCCAAGGCGGACTTTATCAAGAATATCCGAAAGCCGGTGGGTATCCCACGAAGAAAGTGTTACAGTTCCACCCTTGCTGCAACTTCAGCATCACAAGTTTTCTCCGCATAACAGAGCAGAAAACTTGCAATGCACAAGTTATAAGGGAAAACAGGAAGGAAACGAGGCTCCAAAGCATTTCCTGCATGAGAAAGGTTGTCTGTGTCGCCGGTTTTGCAAGACCACAAGGCGTCACTGTAACACTTTTTTCTTCCCATAGTGGGTCTCTACAGCGAGTCGCTGGAGCAGATCAAGCTATCCTGTGCAAAAGTATCGTAGTGCTCGTAGTAATCGCACTTATGCATTCCAAATCTGTTTCTCAAGATAAATCAGCATTACAAATTTAATTTGTAATGCAGGACTAATTTGTATTGCAATTTATATATACTAGTACGATGCTTTTGCATTGCATACAAGCATGAGATCGGCAAAATGGATAGTCTGCCCGGGAACGGGAGCCTTCCACTCCTGTCGGAGGGGGAAAAGGATGCTTATTTGGTACCGAATTTGATGTTTGGCGATTTTCTTATAGCTGTGTGTTGTAGTCCTCGTGCATGACAAACATCCTGACTTCTGTCAGCAAGCTAAGTTCATCATCATCATCGATCCGCATGAAATGGTGGAACAAAAAATGAAAATCTACTAAAACAGCATTCCCTACTCGCGAACCTGATTTTCCCGAAGGCGGTGCACACCCATTTTGACAAGTCGTGTTTCGGCCTTCCTTATGGATTGCAAAAATGTCTGGGTCTGGAAGATTACAGGAGTTTGTCATGCATATTTTGCGTGGCCCATGAGGTCTGTGATGCATGCCCTAGCATCAGAGATTTTGCGCGGGCTTCCTGATGCCTATTCCGCATGAGGAATCCCCTCCCAGCGTAGCACAAACTGTACTCCTCTTGCTGGTCATGCAATATAATTTTTTTTCACAGTCCAAAGATAGCATCACAAGTTCCAACGTTCCAGACCCACACATTTTTGCAATTCATATTCCTTTGTTCGGTTCTGCGGTGTATTCGCATATGTGGGCCGGTGTGGGCAACCACTTGATGGCCAAGAAACCCTCGGCGCAGAAAATCGACGAGGTCATGAAAATTATTACCTACTACCGCACCCCTATGAATGTGTCAGGATCGAAATCGACAAAGTCGAAAAATTTGTGGTGCGTAAAATGTAGGGCACTGGAGGCCTGTATTGCGGAGCAGGCAAATGAGACCGATTGTGAGCCTGTTTAGGGGTATGCAATGTGCTGCCAGAGTAGCATAACAGGCGCAGTCTTCTTTGCCCAAACAGCATGACAGACTGGATTTGGGTGCTCCGAAATTTGTCATGCGCCACTGTTACAAACTGAGGCTCCAACTGGTATCGATTTTATGCACGACAAAGAATTTTTCGACTTTGTCAATTTCGAGTCTGGCACTTCCATAACCCCTATCATCTCCGAGGAGCTCTTCCGGATGGGGTACAGCCCGGAGAAGGTCTACGAACTGGTGGCGAAGCAGTTTTACCTCCAGTACTGGTCCGGGCAGGACAACAAGGACCCGCTAATTTTCAACCCGATGGTCCGCACCTTCTACCCGTGCGACAGCCACATCGGAGCGGGGTCCACGGATTTGGGCCGGGACACGGAGTTGCAGGCCGCCAAGCTGTACTGCATGGGAAATATGTCTGGGTCTGGGAGGACGCGAACTTGTCATGCTAAGGCTGGATCGTACAAAAATTTGTGTTGCATGACTACCAAAAGCTGTCCACTTTTGAACAAGTTTAGAGGCAGTTTGTCATGCAGGATAGGCATGATAGAAGAGACGTCGCAGAACCTGTCATGCTAGATCCTGCATTCCAAACCTCATGGGGTATGGAAAATATGCATGAGAAGTTTGCACTTTTCCAGACCCAACATGTTTGCACTTGATAAGCTGTACTGCATGGGAAAGGAGAACATGGAGGCCCCAGTGACGATTCTGAACACGGGCGACACGGGGTTCTTTACGGACGGCGCCATGCACGCCTTGCAGCACTTCGCGGAGGCACGGGAGCAGGGCTACAAAATGCCGATGATTTTCCTGATCAACGCCAATAACTCGGCCATCTCCGTATTGTGAGGAAAAATCTCCCCTCCCCATATCGAAAAGGAGTTTGTGATGCTGATTTGTGACCACAAATCGACTTTGTCTTGCGTACAATGCAAACGGCACCCATAATGTCGCGCATGGTGCAGCCAGTCTGTCATGCGTTTTCGCCTATGCAAGACTTGTTTCTCATGCGCAGCTGCCAGCCGGATGCGTACCCAAATGGGTTTATGATATCCCTACAAGCTCTTGCTGCAATACAAAGCCTATTTGTGTACAGGAATCCAGCAACACAAATTGTCTTCTGAGTATGGGGTGGGGGCTTTTTTCACCTTGATACCCCGCCCGTTTTGACTACGGAGGGAAGTACGGCGACCTCGGAGAGTACGGAGTCAAGCGCATCCACGAGCTATGCAAAGAAAAAAGTGTATACAGTGTTGCGGAACGCGCACGACATCATGCCGGAAAGGCTTGTGAGCCTCGTTTCATACGTGTTGTCCCTCAGGATCTCTGCATTGCAAGTTTTCTCTGTAATGCAGAGCAAGTTTGTGTTGCTGAAGTTGCAAGAAGAAGAACAAATGTGTACTAACTGTAGCACTTTTTTGTTGGGATACAAGCGGTTTGAATTGTGGAGTAATCTGATCGACAAGGGATTCGAGACCTGGGCGCACGACATGAACAGCGGCATTGACGCCATGAAAAAAGCCTGCGACCAGGTGCTGGAGACCGGGAGGCCAACCTACGTGATTTCCCGGTGGCCGTTCCGTCCGGGGGGCCACGCAAGCGACCAGAACCCCGCGCCGGAGGAGATGCTGTTGGACCAGTTTGAAAAGTACAAGAACGTCATGATCTACCAGCTGGCGTGCGCCGCCCCGAAGGGTATGTCTGGGTCGGAACTGGTGGCGAAGATTATTGAGAGGAAGCATCCCCCCTCCTCATATTGAAAAGATATGTTTCCGAAAATTTGTATTGCTGATTTGTGACCACAAAGCAGGTTTGTCTTGCAAGAAGACAAGTGCAGAGGCATCCGCCCAATTGTGAAGCGATTTGGCATGCTGTTGGTCCTAGAGGGTAGCCGTTTGCAATGCTGAACAGCTAGACCTGAGCGCTCCCACCTAGGCTGCGGATCTGGCCGGAGTGCCGTACTGCAAGACAAGTGTGTACGCAAATCAGCATCAGAAATTTCCATTTTGATATGGGGAGTGGGGATTTTTCATTTTGATAGAGATTCAGCAGGCGGAAGATTCCATCGTGGGCCACGTCGAGCACGCCATCCGAGGCTGCAAGGTGATGAGCCGTATGCAATGCAAATATGTCTGGGTCCGGAAGTAGAGGGTGAACCTGTATATGCGCAGTTTAAATGAAGAAGCAAAAATCTGTGATGCATGAAGAAGATGAGAGCCAGAACCAGAAGGTTTGTCTTGCAAGGCCACAACTTCTCATGCTCCATACGCACTTCGCAAGCCTCCAAACAAGTTGTCATGCTTGGCTAGGTACTGAGGTTCGTTTCTCATGGGGGGGATTAGCATGCCAACTTCCTAGACCGCCCAGACATGTTTGCAATGCATACGCCGCGAGCAGGTGCGCGAACTTTCGCAGCCGGGGTCCACCACCGTGTTGAAGGAAGAGGGGGGCGAGGCGGTGGATTTGGACATCAACTATCTGCTCGGCAAGGGACAGAAAAAGTTCGCAGGTACTTACTTAATATTATGGATGCTTCGAAGCAGGGAAAAAGCAAAAGGACTAATATCTTCGACCCTGATCGGCGTCTTCGTGACGAGTCGAGCTTTGATGAAATTTGTGTAACGTAATAATTTATCGGGTCGTGATGAAAATGCGACAAAATTATATACGATTACCAAAGGTATGGGGTCCGAGATCTACAGCAAGGCGATTCAGAATCAGATGGACATTGCGGACAAAGAGGGCAAGATGGTCCGCTACGTATCAAAAGGAAAAATCCCCCCCTTCCCATACCAAAAAGGTACATTTTCGGAAATTTGTGATGCTGATTTGTGGCCACACATCGCGTCTGTCTTGCAAGAAGGCGAACCCAGAAGGCCCCCGGACTACACCGGCGGGATGTGATGCTGTCGGGCCTAGTACAGCATGGACTTTTGTCATGCTGAGCGCCTAGGCCAAGACCTCTCCCACTCAGGCTTGATGTGGGCCTGCAGTCCTCTACTGCACGACAGGGCTGATGTGTGTACGCAAATCCAGCATGAGAAGTTTCGTTTTGATATGGGGAGGGGGGATTTTTCTTCTTGATACTACGTGCACCAAGAAAACCACCACAAAGGGCAGCACGACACCCGCGGCGGCGTGTATGGCGAGCTCCAGGCTTATGGGAGTGTCAGGATCGAAATCGACAAAATCGAAAAATCTGTAATGCATAAAATGGAGCTGGAGGGCACGCAAGGCCTGCGCCTGTGCTGGGGAGCAGGCAAATGAGACCGATGCGCAAGCCTGTTACGGGGAACGCGATGCGCTGCCAGAGCAGCACGACAGGCGTAGTCTTCTTTGCCCAAACGGCATGACAGACTGGATTTCGGTGCTCCCGAAATTTGTCATGCGCCATTTGGAAGCTGAGGCGTCAACTGGTATCGATTTTATGCATCACAAATTATTTCGATTTCGTTGATTTCGATCCCGACGCTTCCATAAGGCTATCGGCCCCGAGCACGCGGACAAATTTGTTGGTTTCATGCCGCAGGAAGCGCAGGTCGTGCAGGTTGGGGCAGCGTACAGATCGGTGCTGCCATCCGGGAACCGGGTGTTTGTGAAAGGTATGATTAGAAGAAAGCATAGTGATAGTGTTGTTCTACGGTCAACGTGTGAAATTAATAATGTTGAACTTGCATTATACATAGCTCGACGTGCTTCTAGTTCTACTTCTAGATCGCAGTTCGGGCACCATTTTTGTCATTCGAAGGATCGCCGCGCGGAGGTTTCTGTAAAGGAGAAAAACCTTTTATTGCTTTTCACCACAGGTCCCCACACCATCTTTAACGAGCACGCACGCGATCACATCAAGTACGCCGCCTACCGGTATTGCGATGCTGGCGAGCATATCCCATGCAAATATCAAGTCTGGGTCTGGAAGAGTGCTGCAGCTTGTGATGCTAAATCTCGAGCAGAGAAAAACCTGTATTGCATGAGTGCCAAGAAACGCTGCCCACTTTTTGCCACACAAATGGCGAGTTTCTCATGCAGGATAGGCATGAAAAGGCGTTCGCAAATAAACCTGTAATGCTTCGCGTGCATTCCAGAGCATGTATCTATTTCAGAAAATGCATGACAAACCAGTGTGCTCGTCCAGACCGAAACGTATTTGCAATGCATAGAGCACGCGAACCACATCTACATCTTCGACGGCGGTTCCTTGGCTTTCCGTGAGAAGGAGAAAGTTATCGACGCCGAAACAAACGAGGAGACGGAGCGGGATATGTTCCTGGCCCGCGTCGGGGAGCACCACAACACGCCGGAGTACAGCAGTTTTGCCGGCGACGCCAACACTGTGATGTGTCTGCCGATCGACATGAACGTGTTGTCGAACTGCATGCAGGAGATGGTCCGGCTCCACGACATGGGGCGCATGGTTTTGGGGGTCGCGCTATCCTGAGTAAAAACGTCCCCACACCAGAGTCAAGATGGGAAATCTGCTAGACAAATCAACCAGCTGTGGTTGTTTCGCATGACAGGTTTCTCCTCGTAGTGTGATCCTGTTTAGGTAGTTCAGCAGCGTCACAGATCTAGACTATCATGCTGATTCTAGCATCACAAATTCCACAACGCGACTAGAAAATGCTTCTCATGGGGCTTCGCATGAGAAAAGCGCGTCGCATTTTGTTTAGCATGACAACTCTGGGGCGGGGACGTTTTTGCTCAGGATACGCGCCCACCATGAGCTTCGGCATGCTGCACCCGATACTCCCGCTGCCGGAGCACAAGCAGGCCACGGGGATGCAAGTGAACGACTACTTTAAGGTGCAGGTGCCCGGTACGCTGGAGCCGATGAACGGAAAGAAGCTGATCATGATCGGCTGGGGTCCCGACTGCAAAATGATCGCGAAGGTCTTGATGCTATGCAAGAAAGAATGCGAATCATGTATTTACTGTCTGGGAGGCTTGGCATGACAAATTGAAATTATCCACAGGTCCATTATAATTCGCACATTGATTACTACAGGTGCTTTTATTTTTGAATTCAGTTCCAGCATCAGAAAGTCAGATCCAGACAGTGGATTTGTGTTGCATAATCGCAAGAGAACCTGAACTGCGAGCTCATCGTGTTGAACTACAATCGGGCACCGAATGCTCTGGTAATGGTTTGGAGTACTGATAGATAAGATGGATTTTGAGCGAAAAACTTGTGATGCACATTTGTAGAATAGAAGCGCAAGAACCTCTCATGTAAACAGAGCAAGACAAATAATCCCGTTGCTGGCGATAGCAATAGCAAAAAAAGCGTATGCAGCTTACCGAAAACTCCAAATAAACTAGGTCAATTACCTGGATGACCTTGCGACCAAGGGCGTGGTATCAAATGCAAAAATGTCTGGGTCTGGAGGATTGCAACTTGTCATGCTAAGTCCGAATCATGCAGAAATCTGTGTTGCATGAGTGCCAAAGGCTGCCCACTTTCGACCAAGTTGGGTGGAGGGAGTTTCTCATGCAGGAGAGGCATGACAGAGTCAGTGTCAGAGACCTCACAGACTCTGTCATGCTAGGTCCCGCATTCCAGACCTCATGGGTCATGGAGAACCTGCGTTACAAGTTCCAACCTTCCAGACCCAGACATATTTGCAATGCATACGTGGCAACGGAGGTGATTGTGGTGGACCCGAACCCGAACTCCGCGCTTATGTCCCCGGTGGTGTCCAGCATCCGGCTATCAAATGCAAATATATGTCTGGGTCTGGAAACTTGTGATGCCAGTTTGTGAATGGTGGGCACACGACTGCAATACGTAGCTACGCATGACAAGTTTTTGAGCTCCTATGTATATGTTTCGCTTTCCGCATGGCAAACTGCATTTTTCCATGGCAGGCAATAGGCTTTTTTTCCTGCTCCTGCATTACAGATTCGAGGGGCATGTGAGACAAGCATGATAAACTTGCATTCTTCCAGACCCAGACACATTTACAGTCCATACCGGCGCAGAATCAAGTACCCGGACGACCTGTTTTTCAGTGAGTGCACCATCCAAAACGCCTATGTACCCTACGGGCTGGGCGACCCGTTGATCCAGGAGAAGGACATCTACAACACGCTGTTTTACCGGCAAGTTTATGGATTGCAAATATGTCTGGGTCTGGAAGAGTGGAACTTGCAATGCTAGCGTTCCATTGCTAAGAAATCTGTATTGCATATACCAACAAAAGCCGCAGCTTCTTTTTTCATGCGAAAACGCAGTTTCTCATGCGGAGTTCCTATCCGAAAGCGCTCTGGAAAGTTGTCATGCTGGGCTGCATCCGGAATTGTTTCCATCATTCATATTTTCGCATCACAAGTTTCCAGACCCAGGAGACATTTTTGCAGTTGATAAAGTTATCGAGGGCGTCCCGGATCTCTCCATGATCAAGCGCGTCAAGTCCCGCGCCGCGGCGCCGGCCGCGGGCTCGGCCGCCCCGGCGTCAGGCGCCAGCGGTGGGGCGACGGAGACGGTGTTTGCACCGATGGATGGCGAAGGCGTCTACATCTCCTTTCAGAAGAAGGTGGGTGACGTATCCTGAATAAGAATGTTCCCACAACAGAGTCAAGATGGGAAATCTGCTAGACAAATCGGCCAGCTTTGGCTGTTTCGCATGACGAGTTTGCCCTCGTGGTGTTTTCCTGTTTAGCTAGTTCAGCAGCAACACAGATCCAGCATATCATGCTGATTCTAGCACCACAAACGCCAAAGCACGACTAGAAAGCGTTCTCGTGGGGCTCCGCATGAGAGACTCTTTTGGCATGCAGATTTGCATTGCAACTCTAGGGTGGGGACGTTTTTACACAGGATACGACAGCGTGAAGGCCGACGAGATCATCGCCGAGGTGGAGTCGGATAAAGCTACCATCGAGATCTATCATGAAAAAAAAGTGTCACACTTAATACACATTGTGTTGCGAGCTCAGCACTACAGACAAGCTCTGTCATGCCAGAAATGCTTCCGAGCTTCATTTCATACGTGTTTTCCACTATGGCCTGTGCATTGCAAGTTTTTTCCTCTGATGCAGAGAAAATTTGTGTTGCTGAAGTTACAACAAATGTGTAACTGTAACGCTTTTTTCTTGTGATAAGATCACAAGTCCGATTAATGGGGTGATCGAAGAAATTTTCGTGGCAGAGCAGAAGGAAATGGATGTCACGTAACAACTGCAAAAATGTCTGGGGTTGGATGATTTCGGGCTTTGTCATGCTAGTCTGGCATGACTCTGAGCTCTGTATTGCGTGGCCGCAAAGAGCACCTCTTGCCTGTCATGCAAAAACGCAGTTTCTCATGCGGAATACGAAGCACAGAAGCACGAAAAAACTTGCCATGCTTGGCGGCGCATTGCAGTAGGCTAATTATTGGCTGACTTGCATCACAAGTTTCCAGACCCAGATATTTTTGCATTTGATGTCACGGGGGACGAGACCAAGATCTGCTCGGTTAAGCCGGCGGGCGCGGTACTTATGATTTTTTTTAACACAGGACAATTCCAATATTTTGTGGCACAGATTTTATTCAAAGCACTTCTTTTACGTATTGCATACTTGAACTTTATGCCATTCGGCAATGTCTGGATTGTCCTTTTACGAATCCAAACGTCTTACTCTCTAGGCTCCCGCCGCTGCCGCGCCAGCCGCTACGCCGGCGGCCGCGCCTTCTGCCGCCGCGGCAACCGGAAAATTGGAAATGGTGCAGGCACCGATGGACGGGGAGGGTGTTTACGTGAAATTTGTGAAGCAGATATCGTATTTAAAACCGTCCCCACCCCTGCAAATCTGCATGGTCAAAATGCTTCTCATGCGGAGCCCCATGAGAAGCATTTTCTTCTAGTCGTGTTTTGGAATTTTCCATGCTCCAATCAGCATGATATACTAGATCTGTGATGCTGCTGAATTACCTCAAACAGCACTACAGTACGAGTACAGTGGCAATAAAACAGCCAAAACTTGTGGATTTGTCTAGCCGATTCCCCATCTCGACTATGGTGTGGGGACGTTTTTCCATACGATAGCAGATTGGCGACTCGGTGAAGGCCGACGAGCTGATTTGCGAGGTCGAATCCGACAAGGCAACCATTGAGATCACTTCGCCTGTGGATGGAGTTGTGAAGGAGTACTTTGTATCCTGTGCAAAAGTATCGTACTCGTAGTAATCGCAGCCATGCGTTACAAATCTCTATCCCAATTCCAAACAGCATGACAAATTCCATTTGTCATGCTGAGCTCATTTGTAAGTATTGCAATTACTACTAGTAAAATACTTTTGCGGTTCATACTTTGTGGAAGAGAACAAGGAAATCAATGTTACGGGCGACGAGACCAACATCTGCAGCGTGCAAGCGATGGGCAGTGCTCCCGCAGCAGCTCCCGCGGCGGCCGCGTCTACCCCCGCGCCGGCGGCTTCCACACCCGCCCCGGCAGCCGGTGCCCCGACGCCGGCGCAGAGTGCCAGTGGCAAATTCGCCAGGAAGTCGTCCGTTGGGGACGGGGGAAGGCGAAAACTGTCGCGCTTCCAACAGGCTATGGTGAAAAACATGAGCGTATCAAATGCAAAAGTGTCTGGGTCTGGAAGAGTGCCAGGTTTGTCATGCACATTTTGCATGACACGTGATGCCTGTAATGCATGGCCTAGCATCACAGATTTTGGGAGGGCTTTCTGGTGCGTATTCCGCATGAGAAATGCCCTCTCCGCGCAGCACAAACTGGACTCCTTTTGCTGGTCATGCAGCACAGACTTTTTTGGAATCTAAAGACAGCATCACAAGTTGCAATCTTCCAGACCCAGACATTTTTGCAATTCGTAGAGCGTTGGAAATTTGGACACGAACTGCTTCTTCCTGGTGGATATGCATTGCAAAGATAATGTCAGGGTCTGGAAAGTTTGAACCTGTGTTGTGTGTGTCGCATTCCTCAAAAATCTGTATTGCATGAGCAACAAATAAACAAGCACTACATTATTTCCGTCATGCAAATAAATCGCAGTTTGTAATGCGTGCTACCCATGAGAAAGAAGAATTCGTCATGCTTCACTGCGCATAAAGGCGCTGCGCACTGCTCAATCATGATGATCGTTCAGCATTACAAGTTTCCAGACTCAGACCTAGTTGCATTTGATAGCGGAGACGGTGGACTTCAAAAAGATCATCACGAAGGCGAAGAGCGAAGGTATATATCAAATGTAAAAATGTTTGGGTCTGGAAGAATCCATGTTTGTCATGCTTGTCTGGCATGACTCTTAAATCTGTCATGCACATTGCCCAAGAGACGTTTTTTTCTGTCATGCGGAGACGCAGTTTGTCATGCAGAATAGGCAACACCTACAAGCTCAGAAACTTGTCATGCTGAGCCAGCACTTGTGGCCTCCTCATGCTACGCCACTCAGCATCACAAGTTTCCAGACCCAGACATTTTTTCACTTGATAGTATCTAGTACTGTACGACTAGGATGTGATGTATATTGATTGCGAGCCAGTACTATAACCTGTCAGCATGATGAATATGCATGTTCTTGTGATTTTTGGAAAAGAACTTATTTGTACTGGAAAATAGACTAGAATCCATGACGTACAAACCTCTACAACAGGTGTTTCCCCAGTGATCGTTTTAATCAAGGCGATGGCGGAGGCGGCACAACACTCCGGCATGAACCACCGGCTGAGCAAAAACCGCGAGGAAATGATTTACCACGATACGGTGAACATCGGCTGCGCCATATGCAAGAAAGAAAAGTGTTGGTGTAAAGGAGTCTTGGAGTGACAGCATGACAAACTTCCTCCGCATGTTGACAGAGAAAGTTTGTCATGCTCAGCTAGTACGTGAAAACACGCATGATGAAAAGAGAGCTTCATGTTGTGTGTTTGGCATGACAAGTGTGACTGTTTTGCATTTTGTGCATCACAAACTTACACATAACAGTTTTTTCTTGCATGCGCCATTGACGTCGCGGGACAGCTCAGGACCGCGGTGATCAAGGACGCCTACGGCAAATCTTTGACCGAAATTATTCTGAGGAAAAACGTCCCCACCCCAGAGTTGTCATGCAAATGTGCAGTGACAGGAACATTTGTAATGCGCAGCTCCATGAGAGGCATTACCAATCGCGTTTTGGAATTTGTAATGCTGTAAACACGATGAGAAAATTGCTTTCTCGTGCGGCTTCCCTTGCCAACCAGCACTATAATGCAGACGGAAACTTGTCATGCGCCGCTCCCAAAACTTGGAGACTTGTCTTGCTAGATTCCCAACTCGACTATGGGGTGGGGACGTTTTTGCTTAGGATAGAAATCAAGGACGACTTAGCCCGCATGGTTGCCCTCGGCGCCAAGTTGCCGGCGGAAGACCAGGACCTGTCGAAGGTGTGCTTCTATCCAGTGCAAAAGTGTATCGTGCTCGTAGTGATCATTGCAATCATGCATGACAAGTGCCCTTCCTTAGCCAAACCAGCATTACAAATTTTATTTCTCGTCATGCTGAGAAAATTTGTAATGCAAGGAGGACTACGAAGATTCTTGCGATACTTTTGCAATGCATAGCTTCACTGTTTCCAGCCTGGGCAAGGACGCGCCGCAGATGGTGATTTATCAAATGCAACCATGTCTGGGTCTGGAAGGTTAGAACTTGTGATGCTAACTTTGGACTCTAAAAAAATCTGTATTGCATGACCAGCAAGAGGAGTCTAGAAGTTTGTGCTACGCGTGGAGGGCGTTTGTCATGCGGAGTAGGCATCAGGAAGCCCTCTAGAAAGCTGTGATGCTAGGTCGCGCATTACAAACATCCTGGGTCATGCAAAACATGACAAGTCTCAGAACCTTCCAGACCCAGACATTTTTGCATTTGATATGATCCCGGTGCTGCCAAAAGCCACCACCGGGATTCTGGGCGTCGGGCGACTACAGGACGACAAAACGTCGGCGATGTTGACACTGACCGTGTGTCACGCGATATCCTGTGTAAAAACAACATCCCGCCCCAGAGTTGTCATGCAGATCTGTAAGCACAAGAGCGCTTGTAATGCGCATCCCCATGAGAGGTAAGTATTTACCATTGTGTTTTGGAACTTGTAATGCTGTAAACAGGATAAGCAGATGGATTTGTTATGCGGCTTTCCTTGCTAAACTGCACTACAATATAGCCAGCAATTTGTCATGTGTGGGTCCCAAAACTTCAAGGTTTGTGTTGCAAAATCCCCATCTTGACTCTGGTATGGGGACGCTTTTACAAATGATACGCGACCCTGACGGGCGTCGAAGGGTCGAAAATCATGACCTGCTTCCGAGACTATTACAATGAAAAATGCCCCCTCCCCATATCAAAACGGAAATCTGTGATGCAGATTTGGGGTCAGAAATCAGCTTTGTGATGCTAGAAGGCAAAAGATGCGGACTGTAGTGCTGCCTAGCGTAGGAAAGCCTTGCAGCTCCAGGATGACAGGAGGCATCTGGAAGTGGGAAACAGCATGACAGACTGCCTGCAATTTAGGCCGCAGCTTCGTCTCTTGGCCTTCTAGCAATACAAGTCGATTTGTGTACTCAAATACAGCATCACAAATTCGCGCATCTTCCGTTTCCGATTTGGGGTAGGGACTTTTTTCACTTTGATAGAGACGCGCTGCCGTGAGGGATAGGGAGGTGAATTTTACCGACCTATGGATCCCATAGAAGTTCACGTCTATGGGATCGTGGTCCTTCGCAGGGCATCAAGGGGAGTAAAGTTTACCGACGATAGTGCGAAAAAGAAAAACAAAAGCCAGTTGCAGATTGTCACAGAAGCCCGAGTATCATTGAAGGAAGTTAGCAACTACTCGCGGTGACACGAAGTTGCAGGCACCATTGCAGCATACCATTCCGCAGGTTGTGCTTGTGCCTAAATTCTACGATAGTACGCGACCGTTAAATTGTAATCAATCAAAACTGAAGTGTCAGTCTGCTTAAAGCAACACTTCCCCTTGTCTAAGTACCCCATTTCAATGGATAGAGAAGGTGAAGAAAGTAGCATGATACGCACGCAATTTATGAATTTTTAGAGGTTAATATTTTTACGCGCCAACAGTTTCTCTCTCTCTAAACTTGTACGTATTCATCAACATAAAAATTTCAACACTACTTAGTACATCTTGATGTTGCAAAGAAGTCCAGTCGTTCTACCCCCGAATCGAAAAATTAAAACCTACTAAGGATCATCGCTGTGGTAGAAAATCTGAACAAGCGTACTCCTATTGAATTTTTGTATCAATGAGTTTCGGTTTCTTGAAGCTCTACAGAATAGTACAACCTGTAGCAGAAGCTACTACAACGATTTCCGATTTCCCGGAGGTCGTGCATAGGAAGACCTAGGATCATCATCGTGGTCTTCCAGTTTATGATGCTAAGAGACAAAAGAGAGGAGCAGAGACCCTGACCTCATGAATTTTCCGTGTCATGTACTGATCAAAAATGAACATTAGCGAAAAAGTTTTTTGCGCTTGGCGCGCCAGGCACGGTGGCGGGTGAGGTGAAAGAATGCGCCAAATTTAGCATTGCGGAATGGTACAACTTCTCATCTCTTGAGGAGAGACAGCACAGCAAACGTGATCTGCTTGGTGGCGGAACGATCATAGTGGTAGGTCCGGGTAAGTAGTTGTAGTTGTACGGTTGATATTGCAAGAAGAAGGATCTCTACATAAGTACAATTTTTGCGTCGCCAACAAGCTGTAGATGAAAGAGAAAGTGGTCTTCGTTCTGCTTCAGAACAAAAGCGTTAGCAATCTGTGACGAACGGTGTGTTACTTACCATGGAACGAGATCTACCACGACCACCCCTGTAAAAAGGGGACCAGATACAGTGCTCCCGAGCGGGTAGCGAAGGTTCTAGTCTACTATCAGCGCACGATCTGCGTGAAGTTCTGCTTCAGCTTCTGACTGAGCTTAGTAAGTAGCATCGTCGATTTTACCGCCCTAGTTTTGTGCAACATGATTCGATTTCGAGTGTAAGAAAAAATTCCGTTCAGTCCTTTTGAAAAATAAGCTTCGGCATCTTTATCGAGGCATTGTAAAACCATTCTGTGAAGAAGCTCCTGACTCAAAGCATCAACATAACGAACCAAAGTTTTTTTTTGCGAGAACTTTGTTTCTACCTGCTAGGACGTGTGGTCTTGACAAGAGACGGCGATTTGGATTATTTATGTCGATACTTACTTAGCGAAAGAACTTCCCCAAGATGTATCTTGCGACGCCATGACATGTATTTTTATTTGAGCACACTCGACGTCATATCAAGCTACCTTTACAAGAAAGATCTACCATATTGCATCCTTGACGTATTTATATTAATTTCATACTAGCTATTATCCGTGTGACCGCAGTATTTGTAATCGAACGCAGCCGCGTTGCTTTCTGTAGCCAGGACCACAGACTCTAGAGCAGGGGGCGGGCGTGAGTGGGAAAGGAGGCAAAGGGGGAGGGAGCGAGCGGGGGAGGTGGGGGGCCGCAGCGCAGAAAGGGGGAAGCCGGAGGGGGGGGAAGGGCAGGCAGCAAGTGGGAAGGGGAGGAGGGTGGAAGCCGGGACGGAGGTGCCAAAGAGAAGGAGAAAAAGCACCCAAGAAGGGCGAAGAGGAAAGGGCGAAGAGG